AAATATTCCTAAACCTTAACCCTGCAGAATCTACTTCCGTCTTGATGGATAGATCATTGGTTATGCACCTGTTCGTGCCCCTACCAATGCTGTTAAAGAGTACCATTCTAGTAGTCAATATGTGAGACTAATTTTGCTCCACCGAACATCGTTGGAAGAGTAGAATTTTGACATGGATGCCTTGTTGGCCGAATCCCCTTAGTAAACCATTTACTTTGTGAATATTTTTCCATGTTCTTGGATTCACGTTTGGTGTATGTTTTACTTATGGATAATCTTATTGATATTGTCCTCGAATATGAGTTAATTGAATCACGTTTCTTAATACATGTATCTAATTCAATTAAACATGTGATTATGTAGGAATGTGGGAAAGTTAGTTGTCTGGATGAATGCGTACTACGCACACTAACTTTACACCTAAATCACATCTCTAACAACGACTTCAGGTCTATCCAACCTGATTAAGAGCATTGGCACACTTCTCATTGTATAAATGGTACCGAATCACCATTTAAGGGACCTTAAATTCTCCTTGACGCTAAGTTTTTAAGAATATTCGAGATGACAATAATCATAAATGAAACCACTGAAGAAATAAGAGTGAAATATCTTTGCACCACCTCCAAACATGAGCTTTAAGCTTTGATTTGGGGCCAATGGGTTGTCTCCCAATTGGGAACACACCATATGTGGGTGGCCTGGAGTTGGGTGATTGAGCAGTTTTCTTATTTTGGTACTACTATGTGGGTGGCCGGCCCCTTGTAAGTGATTGGGCTTGTTGCCCATTTTGTTTTAGTTGTCATACAACTTAAACATAATGGGCCTTGTGGACCAAAACGCTTTTGGGCCCCGAAACCCAAAACCAACTTAAAAGCCCAATACGAACCTTTCGTAAAATTAATTAACTAATTAATTAATCTTGACCATTCTTCAATTAAACCATTTAATTGCATATCCATTTCATTTAATTTCTTCACTATCACCCTTACTCGGTGTACGATCCATTAGGTTCCATTTAGCGAGGTAGTGGGCGATTGTTACTCTTAACGATCGATTGTGAATTGAAACCACATTTCAATTCTCCCTTTATTGATTAGTGTGGCCTAATCATTAGGGCTTCCACAAACCATGAGTGACACCTAGCAGTATATCATGGTTACCCAAGCTAAGTAGAATTGGTTGGAGAACCTATCCAGTTACAACTACAATGCAATACGGTCCTTCTCTAATACAATACTCTTAATCACATTGTTTGAATGATAGTTTGTTTCATGTCTACTATCCAATGTGATACATTTCTATATGATTCCCTTGAATATGATTTGGAACAAACTTCCTAAGTCATATTCATTTGCTTTGGCCAAAGACTTTAGAATCATATCTTAGAGTATTTTCCTTCCACCATGGAAGGTTAGAGATCCCTTGTTGTGCATTCATATGCCTACATGACTAGATAGCTTGACCCCAACAATGCCGTGGACACTCCGATGGAATGCCGTTGACATGATCAAAGATTAAGAACCTAACCATTAGACATCTATGATGCCTCAGGGCAAAGGACTACTTTGCATATTGCAACTTTAGAGTTCATACATGACATGTATGTTCGAACTCTCTTTTGATCGTTGTTCAGTGTACTCGATTACTCTTTCGAGCACCTATGTGTTTGTCTTAGTGTACAACACTAAATGACTTGAGACTAGTCATACTCACGCTTGAGTCAACATAACACATACTAACCTTAGCGGATTGTCAATGCCCAATTGGCAATCCTATGGCTAGGAACGTTTTAGGAATGAACATAAGAGAATGGTCTCGATAATCTAACTCACTTAGATCACTTGTCTCTTAGATCAAATACATCCCTAGGATTCCCTTATTGCTTAAACACATGATATAATAAATAGTGATTAACAATAAGCTTTGCCCTTCATTAAACATATAAAAGTTTAATACATTAAGTATTCCAAAAGCTATTACATCAAATGAGTGGCTTTGTGGGCATACTTCCAACACAATATCCTTTCACCTTCTTGCACTCATTGATTCACCACTTACTCACCTTTCCATTCATGCCATGCATAATCACCCTTGTCCTCTTCATGCACCAAATTTCTTGCACTCATTTCATACACCATTACACTCATTATCCACCCATGCCGTGCACCACCCTTGTCTCCTTCATTATTTCTAATTTCATGCATCAAAACATTGAATCATTGCACTCAATTGCTGCACATTTCTTGTCCCCTTCACCCATCAAATTTCATACAACTTTTAGCTCCACTACATGCACTCATTAATGCACCATCCACCACATTTGGAATCTCATGCCGTGCATCATGAGTCTTGCTGCACCTTTGACTCATTTCTGCACCATTCCACCTCTCTTTCCTTTGTGCACAATCACTCATGTTCCTTAGCTGCAACACCACTCCATTTTACCCCCCATGCTTTGCATCATCACTTCACTTTCACCTTTGAATCATTTCAAACACCACTCAATGCACTCATTGCTGCAACACCACTCCATTTTACCCCCCATGCTTTGCATCATTACTTCATTTTTACCCTTGAATCATTGCAAACACCACCAAATTCCCTCCATTGCCGTGCACTTCCTCTATAAAAGGAAGTGTGTGTGGCAGCCATATAGCTTAGTTTTTGCTTGATCATTCATCCTCATTTCAATACAACCTTTATCCAAACACATCCATTCATCCTTACATCCATTCCTCCATATAAACAAACCTTCAAACACTCACCAACACCTTGTGTCGTAGCAAAGGAAGGGAAGGAAAGTGCTTGGAAATGCTTGCTGTCCAACTTGGATCGTTGGAGCGTTTAGGTGTTTTCTTTATTTTTGTTTCTAATGTTTAAATTTATTTCCTTTCATTTTGTTGTAAATATGAGTTGCTAAACCCCTCTTGGCTAGGGGTGATTTCAAAGCCGTGATTATGTGTGCAATATAATTTGATAAATTCCAGTTATGAACTCTTGAATCGTGAATGCAATTGGCTTAACTATTTGATTGATAACTTATTTGTATTTGTTAATTAAGGGTCGACACTTAATTGGCATGCATAAATCCATTGCTAGAATATAAAGAAGTTTCACATAATTGTTACAAACTTATATTCACATGTAGTGAAGGTCGCTTATAAACGATCGCGTTAAGTTCAATTCCTAGCATAAGTAACATGATGTCATAGTTGCAAGTGCTTTGTCAATGCTTATGATTTTCATTAAACGTAATGATCTTTGATTGTATCTCTATTATGATGTCATGTAGGGAACTTTTGAAGAATGTTTTGGGTTGTCGAATGATGTCATCCAATCCAATAAAACAAGGAAAATCTGAGAGTTAACTAGTGATGTCACGGTTAATTTGGAGCATTGTCGTTCATAATTCAATGAAGTAGTAACTGGAAATCAAGTTATTTGCATACATATCATGTGTGGAGAAAAAGCCTCTAGCTATCCCATCCATCATCTTATTTCTCAAATTTGTTTTACAATCTGTTTAGTTTTTCATACTTGTTTGTTTGTTTCAACTTCATCCAAATCAAAACCCCCCTTTTAGTTCTTGTTTCAAAGTGTTTCAAGTCTGTTTTAGTTTGTGTTTTTAAGTGTTTTGATTCAAGTAAAAGTCAATTTTCGTCCAAAGTCATTCCTAGTGTCTAGTTTAAGTTTGTTTGGTTGTTTTAAGCTGTTTTGAGTATTTTAAGTTTGCTTTGAGTTTTGTGAGTCTTGTTAAGTGTTTTTAAGTTTAGTTTTATGTTTTTGAGTGAGTTTAGATGTTATTAGCAGTTTTCTGTATGAATAATCCAACCAAACCCATGCAACACGTTCTCTAAATGTAGTTCTCAATTTTCATGCATGCCTGGAAGACTGTCTCTAGCGAAACTCATGCGTGTATTCAAACTAGCTCATTAGTTTAGGGAGCTTGACAATTAGAACCAATAATATAAAAGGCTCGAAGGTTTAAGGCAGTTTGCTCGTTTTATTATACCTTTCTCGACTTTTGGCTAAGATCAAATGTGCTCGTTTTATTACGTCCAAGTTTAGTTCTCTCACTCCATTAGAGTGCATTGAAATATAGTCTTGTTAGAAGAAAAAAAAAAAGAAAAAGAAAAAAAATAAGACTTTATTAGGCCCACGTGTCATAGTGTGAGGATTTGGTCACACTCTCAATCTTTTAATGGGTTTGGGCTTTAGGATTGGGCTAAAACACGTAATCTGTGGACTTAATAACTCAATGATCAAGTAGTGTCATGAGTGTCTCTAATCTAATGGTGCAATGAAGGCTTGTCAGCTAAAATAGTCATTGAGATTAGCATAATTCTTTATTTTAACTCTTAATATTGAAATCGATAGAAAGGGTTCCTGAGTTTTTTCACCGTCAACCATTTTGGTTTTTCTGTGAAAATCTTCATTAAATGAAAAAAACCAAGTCGATGGGTTGATTGGACAAAAACACCTTTAATTTAACATAATTTTTCATAGAATGACCAAAATGGTTGACGGTGGGCAAACTCAGGGACCATTTCAATCGATTTTCAATCTTAATAACCAAAATAAAGACTTATGTCAATTTCGATGACCATTTTAACTAAAAAGTTATGCAGTGAATGAACAACTTCTATATCATAGCCCCAGTGAATTGAATGAAAATAACGTTTAGTATACATTGTGGTAAAGCTTTGCTTTTCATGTCCTTTGTTTGCATGACATGCCACCCCACACGGCAACTTTTATCTCCATAAAATTAAAAGGTAGGAAAACCATGGTCCTATGGGATATTAGCTTTTCTTTTGTTGGTTTCCACGTTTAACCCCCAACACTTTGACATTATTACAAAATCATCCCAACTAGCTCCACGTTTCAGGACCACAGAGCGAGTACGTAGTACATCGCACTCGAGCGAGTACATTTGTCTCCCAAAACGCATGAGGCGTATCTGTTTCCCTCGTTTTGTTTGTTCAAAATTCAAAAACGACCCAACAACTCCAATTCCTCTCTCTCTCTCTCTCTCTACTGAATCAATAAATCACCTAAAAAGGAAAACCAAGAACAAGCTAGAGTTTTGGATTTCCCCTTTGTTTTTACTTTTTTTGTTTGTTCTGAAATCGATGTTATGCTCGCTGTTGAAGCGTGGATTGGGGAATCTGTGCAGATCGGCGTTGAGGTTTCTTGACAGGTCGATTTCGCGAGCTATGGGCTGCTTCTTCGGTTGCTTTCGGGACAAAGATGATCGCCACCTCCGCTCTCGCCCTCACCTCGTCTCTCAGTCCTCTCGTAACCCCCAGACGGTAAGGTTTCCGTTTGGTGTTTGGTTCCCGAGAAAATCCGGGAAAATGTTTTTCCTTTCAGTGTCTATATTTACTGTGCTGCGAATTACTTTTTGTGTGAAAATTTGAGGAAATCATAGTCAATTGAGTACTAAAGGACTAATCTTGATCTTGAATTAGCCTAAGATTAGGGATTTTAGATTTCTTGTTTTTTCAATTTTGATTTGGGTGCTGCCGATATCATTGCAATTGGAACCCAGTGTAGTTATATTCATTATCGTTATGTTCAATTTCATTTTCTCAGCTTCCAAACAGTAGATTTAGTGAGTTATGTATAATTTTAGACTGATTTCTTGTTTTCTGTTTCTTTTATTTTGATCAGGAAGTCGTGTTATCCCAAAACCGTTTGTCTGCTCTATTTTCAGCTGAAGGTATATTATATTTTCTCCAAGACAATAAGCTAATTTCTTGAATCCGATTCTACATATCTCGTTGCTTTTTATTTTCTTTTGGTCTGATTATCCTTTTATTTTCTCTGGTCTGATTTGTATGTGACTCTCGAAGAGCAAGAAGGTTCTCCAAGCAAAGATAGGGAAAGTCCGCGTTATGGGTCTCCACAAATTGACAAGGAGCTCAGGAATGAGGTGTTTTTTTTTTACTTTATGAGCTAGCGGATTCAAAGTTTGATGTAGTTAAGATGTTCAGTACAGCAGTTCAGATTAAATTGTTTTCGATGCCTAATGCTCAGAACCTACATATTTCAAACGTAGCATGGCCATTTTTGCCAATCAGTTTTTTAAATGTTGTAACTTTTTCTCAATCTTTTGAAGTGATATAAATACTCCAATTTATGCTCTACAACAAAGACTTTGTTTTCCTGTACATGCTGTTTAAGTGAAGTTACAAGCATTAGTTTCCGAAGTGTTGCTTTCTAAGTTAGAACTTGTGGGAGTCATTGGAGCTTTGACTCCCGTTTTGCGCAGTACGTTTAATGTCATTGTTTCTAGTTACACTTTGGATGCATTTCTAGATTAAGTCTTTAGCTATTTGAATTTCTCATACTGTTAAAGATATTGGTTTTATTTATGCAGTGCATCTTATTCTGCAGGCCAAGTTTCTTAAAGCTTGTGGTACCATAGCGGAAACCCCAGCTGAAATTCGTAAAGTGTCTTCAAGGTTAAATGGCTCACCCCATCATGATAGAGATTCAGAGCCTCCAAAATTCAACTCATGGCTCCCAAACACATCCTTTAGAAATCTTCAGCAAGAGTTGGATCAACCAGATCATCCCCTTACGCCTATGAAGTACAATGAAGAGTGGGGAATGGGTTCAGGTCCTTCTGAGCATACGCCTAGCAGGTTCTACTTATAACTGTTTTAAAGTTTGAATAGTTACTTACAGATGCTTTGAATGCTTGAACATTAGTATATTTTCTACTTCTAGATGGGATGGGTTTGCAAAACCAGAGTTTCAATCTGTCCTCGTATTAGCAATGAAAATTTGATGGCCATCTCATATTTTTCTTTTTAGTAGAGAAAAAATTGGTTTTTTTTTTTTTTTTGTGTGTGTGTGTGTGTGTGTGTGCTGCCTGTATTGTGAGGAACTGTTTAGTACAAGTAAACATAACTGATTCCAGACTTGCGTTCTTATATTTTATATTTATTTCCACAAAACAACATAGTTTCTGACATTTGCCCAATTTCATTTTTTATCTGTAGTTGTGAATTCAACCAACAGAATACTGGTAGGATCGCTATCAGCTCTTCTGGAGGCAGCGGAATAGGTACTGATTCCACAGTGAAGAGTCATACTAACCGGACTGAGAATATTACAACTCCAGATGTCCAGTGCAGGAGCAAGGCTGTTCGCTTTGAATGCGATAATAATACAAATTCCTCCAGAGGTTCTTCATCCGAAAATTATAACCGGAGTTCAAAAGTATGTGAAACTCCAGGAAAACAGAGCATATCAAAGCCTTCGGTTTATCCAACCCCACTAACTCTTTCTGAGGAGATGCAGACACCAGGAACTGTTTTCCCTGCAAATCTCGAAAACTTTCCAAATGGAAGGGCAAGAATCAGGTCCCAGTATGTGTATTCAGTGCAAAACCCTGTAGACGGCATCTCTCAGTGGAATGTACTGAAAGACGAAGATCCTAAGTCACTTGGACATTCTGGTGAGCCAAGAAGAATCTCTTAACGACTGGGGAAATGCAACCCCTACATCCGAAGAGGGGTCAAAACAAATGTCATCTGGACAAGAGGTCAATGTGGAATCAAGTTTGTCCGCGTGGCTGAAGCCGGTAACTCAAGATAACAACAATCACTTTGGTTATGTTCCTGGCCAAACTCGTCATTTTGGAAGAACTCCTGTGGACAGGCCTATCATTGGGCTTGTTGCTACTCACTGGAATGAAGATGAACATACTCGTGTCTCACCCAAGTGGTGGGATGGAAACGGAATCCCAAATTCAACAAACAAAATACAAGGAGGTTTGTCTGACTACCTTCTACTTCCTCTTGCGTCTTCAATTCATTTTTTAAGTGACGTCTGAAGTTATTTCTGAATTTGCAGGATCAGAAGGTGAGTTGGCATGCCACCCCATTTGAAGAAAGGTTGGAAAAGGCACTGTCCGAAGAGAGTTTCATCTCGCAGAGGTATTAGAACGGCATCGCAATTTGTTTTCACAATTTTCTTCAGTGCTAAAGAAGCATTGATTTTCCTCGACAGAAAATGTGACTATGTACTTTATATGGTTATGCAGAAAAAACATGGAGGGAAAGCCGATTGTTTTCGACGAGAACGATGAAAGTGACACAGCCCTTTCTCAGTTGCAAACGTCATCCCATCCGAAGTCCGTGGTTTCATTCTGATGAGCATGAGTTTTTGTTGCTTGCTTTACAAGGAATTTGTTGGTGGTGAAAAAAAATGAGCTCTTAAAAAAGAAACCCTAAATCTGAAGTTTGTTGTTGGGGATATATGGTGAAATTGGTAATTTGGCCTTTTGCATCTAAAGCCAATGAACGATCAAAGCGGATAAAGCAAAAGTTTATTAGTGTGTCAATATAGTCATGCTTATGTCAGCATTCGGGGCTGCTTAGAATGTGTACAGAATTATTGGAAATTTTATCACACAGAACTAATTGCTTGTTGACAAAGTTTGGTTGTTTGGAGACCTAGATCTTATAATTTCTTACATGATTCGTTAATATGTTATGTAAAAGATATAAAAATAACGGATTTCAGGTCAACACGATAACTAATTGAGTCGTTATCTGGTTACACAATAAGAACCCGATAATAACGCGTCCTTAATAAGTTTACACGAAAATGACACTCGGTAACCTGTTTTAACATGCTAATAAGAAAGATATTTTTATGGTTTTAATTTTTTAAACTATTAAAAAAATCACTAGATATAGTGGATAAGTATATATTGTTTATTAATTATTATTCTATATAAAGAGTGAGATTAAAAAATTAGAAAGCACATTAAAAATAAAAATATTAATTAATTTTAAAAAAAATGAGCTCTTAAAAAAGAAACCCTAAATCTGAAGTTTGTTGTTGGGGATATATGGTGAAATTGGTAATTTGGCCTTTTGCATCAAAAGCCAATGAACCATTAAAGCGGATAAAGCAGAAGTTCATTAGTGTGTCAATATAGTCATACTTATGTCAGCATTCGGGGCTGCTTAGAATGTGTACAGAATTATTGGAAATTTTATCACAGAACTAATTGCTTGTTGACAAAGTTTGTTTGTTCAGAGACCTAGATCTTATAATTTCTTACACGATCTGTTAACACGTTATGTAAAAGATACAAAAATACGGATTTCAGGTCAACACAATAACTAATTGGGTTCTTATCAGATTACACGATAAGAACCCTATAATAACAGGTTCTTAATAGGTTTACACGAAAATAACATACTGGTAACCTATTTTAACATTCTAAGAAAAAAAGATATTTTTATGGTTTTAATTTTTTAAACTATTAAAAAAATCACTAGATATAGTGGATAAGTATATATATTGTTATTAATTATTATTCTATATAAATTTTAAAATTTTAAGTTTTATTTATTTATTTATTTTTATAGTATACTATACGTAAAGAGTGAGATTAAAAAAAATTAGAAAGCACATTAAAAATAAAAATATTAAGTAATTTAAAAATACCAAACACATTAAAAAATTATAGTAATTAATTTACAAGTACGAAAAATGTAAACAATATGAAAACACTTATAATAACATCATTTAAACTTTGGGGATGGGTACATCGTCGTTTGAATTTTTAAAACTATACAAACCCTCATGAATAGTATTTTTAAGAGTTAAAAAATAAATAAAATTCATAATCATTAATGTTCAAAACAAGTGTTCAAAGATATGCAAAATGAAGAGAGTTGCGTTCCAAGG